TAATGTAGATGAACAATGGGTTCAGATTAGCCGAGCAATGCACTTCGCAGCGAAGGTTGCTTCTGGATCTGAAGCGGTAGCCCGAATGAGGCATTGTATATCTGATGATTCGGTAACACTGATGGAGAAAAAAGCAGCAAATCCCATCCACTCGGGATCAAGGTAGGGCTAGGTGGCGTTTGCAATGTCAGCTGAAGAAAGACCGTGATAATTGGTGGGCAACGATAGCAAGTGAAATGGAAGTTGCAGCTGCATCAGGGAATAGTCAAAGACTGTTGCAACTGATACGCAATAAGGGAGGCCGGCGAACCACAGTTAGTNGGACAGGCCATTCACAATAGAGAACAACAGCTTAACCGTTGGGCTGAGTACTTCAACGAGCAGTTCAGCTGGCTAGGCGCTAACCAGGCTATCTCCGGTGTAGCTAAGGGTCCGTGGGCAGTGCCATCTGAACCTCCTACTTCAACAGAAGTTCGTTCTTGCATCCAAGCCCTGAAGAAAGGAAAAGCAGCAGGGCCGGACGGGGCTCTCACTCTTTTTTAAGACGGGGGGGGGGCGACGACCTTGCAGACTCCATTACTGATCTAATGCGTGACATCTGGTCACACGAATGCATTCCATCATCGTGGAGCGAATCACTGATCGTTCCAATTTTTAAGAAGAGATCTCGCAACGAATGCGCAAGCCACCGTGGAATAAGTTTTATCCCAATCGTCAACAAGTTACTAGCCTCCATCATACTTCGACGTCTGGCACCGTTTAGGGAAACAGAAAACTGTGAACAACAATCAGGATTTCGACCAATTCGCGGTTGTATCGATCAAATCTTCACCCTCCAGCAAGTCCTCGAGCTACGCCATACGCATCGTTGGCTGACGGTTGTCTTGTTCCTTGACCTAAAAGGAGCCTTGGACTCGGTTGATCGTGAATCCCTTATTTGTTCACTCCTTCGCAAAGGAATGCCGAAGAAGTACGTGAACATACTGAGTTCACTCTACTCACATACCTCTTGTAGCGTAAGGGTCTACGGTGAGCTGAGCAGGTCGTTCGTAACTAAGGGTGATGTTCGTCAAGGGTGTCCTCTTTCACCATTCCTGTTCAATTTCCTCTTAGACGAAATGCTAGAGAACGCACTAAGTGGTCTCTAAAATGTAGGTATTGAATGGGCAGCTTGAGAACAGCTGTGCGATTTGGAGTACGCTGACGACATCGTCTGCTTGTTCAAATGTATGGAGGATGCACAAAGATCACTTTACAGATTAGCAAGTTCTGTCGCTCCGTTCGGTATGTGCTTTGCACCTTTAAAGTGCAAAGTGATGCTACAAGACTGGGTGTTGCCGAATTCTGCTCTGAAACTAAACGGTCAGAAAGTGGCTGAAGTTGACTGCTTCTCGTAGTTAGGTAGTTGTCTGGTAAACGACAGTATCGCATCAAAGGAGACAACCACCCGCATTTCCAAGGCTCCAGCAGCGTACGCAGGACTTAAACACCTGTGGCGACGACGTGAAGTTTCATTGAATTTGAAAAGTCGCGTATTCTGCTCCGCCGTATGATCAGTTCTGCTTTACGGTTGTGAGACCTCGAATTTGCGGGTAGAAGACATCCGTCGCCTAGTGGTTTTCGATTATCGATGCTTACGTAGTCTGGCCCAAGTGGGATGGTGTGAGCGGGTCAGTAACTTAGAAGTAAGAAGTCAAACACGAACTCGCTATCGCATCGAATCCATCTCGTGTTACGTATGTCCAATGGTCGCCTACCGCTGCGCACCTTGTTCACGTTGCCTGTTACAGACTGGAGAAAGCCACGTGGAGGCCAGCAGATGACGTGGAGACGAAGCATGAAGAAATGCACAGAGCGATTAGGTAGAGTAGGTGTCTCTCGTCTTCCGGGTTGGGATTCAAAAGACTCCCAAACCGCATGTTAGGATACACCGAAGGTCATAGCTGCGAACGGACAGCAATGGCGAGCTTTCTGTCACTTCTTACCAAACCAAAATGCTTGAAATAGTATGTATGCACAGTTGAACTGTGTACTCTGTGTTGACCATAGAGACTCGTCCTATATTTCCGTCCCTAAAATCAAGTCCAATCGCTGTTCTCCTTAAACATTCTCACTTACTTTGTATGCAATGAGCTTGGTAGCGACCAATAAAGTTCGCTTCATTGTACTAAGTTGTACAATTATGATGTTGCGAATGATGCTTCAGATGCGTCGATGCAGACTTGCTTTGTATTCACGAACATCTGCGTTTCAATGAAATATACTGGCTGAGGTAAAGTTTGTGCTCTATATCGCCATGCAGGTAAGTTTGCTTGAAGCTTTTGCAATATGTGGTTAAAGTGCGGTCAGTCTGTGAAGTGGCGAAATGGTATAATGTTTCAGTTTTTGAACTCAGCCAGATTGCTGCTAATCTCGGTGTCGGCTTCGAATCAAAGGACTTACAATACTTGGTTCGGAATTCCACTTGATGTACTCAAGTTTCTTCAGCTTTTGAATTTTGCAATTTCTGTCCCTTGTGACACATTTGAAACTTGTTTTTCGTTCGTTGTGGTAATCATCTTTTTAATCGTTCTATGAAAGAAAACAGTAATCACTCCAACTAGATGAGTCTGGCGCGATTCTCATCGTCTTGTAGCAAGCACTTTTTCTGATCTAATTGATTTCCTACTTAGTAGCTGAACTTCCTATCGATAATCGTCGATTTGGCAGCGATCAGTAAAGTTCGCTTCACTGTATTACGCTGTACAATGATCATGATGATGATGATCCGTCTATAAAGCTCCAGTGAACACTAACCATAAAGACTTCCGTACTGTTTTCATGGTAACTCCAGATAATGGGGTAGCGCTGTACATTGCATTGACCGCGTTTGGTAGTAGTAATAAGGGAGCTACTGCCTTTGTCGTGTAGCGGAAGTAGTTTCCTGGAACATGGAAGTGATCTTTCCACAGCTTCCGCCGACAGCATCTTTAATAGAACAACTTCGGTGTCGATTGCATTTTGTCTCACGAACGGAGAAGTCAAAGTCAAAACCGCCGCTGGGTGAGAGATTGAGGTGGAATTTAAAATATTCGATTTCTGTCGCATAATTTCCAGTGAACGCACTAGTTCTAGGTCATTTGGTAAGTTCATGAGATGCGAAAAAAAATTACCAAATCAAAAGTGCCAACGTAACGCTTGTTGAATATGGACAAAAATTGACCAATTTATTTTTTAATTTGATTTGATTTAATTTAATTTTTATTGATTTAAAAATTATCAGGTTGGACAGAAGTGTCATGTCGAATGTGCCCGATTCAGTCCGGACGGTCAGTTCTTGGTTACTGGTTCGGTGGACGGTTTTATTGAAGTATGGAATTTCACTACTGGCAAGCTCCGCAAGGATTTGAAATACCAAGCTCAAGTGAGTAGTTTTAGCTTAGTTTTTATTACTACTCTGCATTGTGTCATATACCAATGTACTACGAATCAATCAGTGATGCCCATTGAAATTCTATTTTTATCAACTGTCTTTAGCTCTGCTTTTAATTTTAGAGTCTATACAGCTGTTTTTTTTGACTGGTTATCTCTAAAACTTTGTTGTTACACAATATCTGCAGCTTGTCTAGTGGGTCATACATCCGGGAAGCACTGAATTCGAGTTTCTCTTGTTCTAGCTCATCCGTGATGCATGCCGATCGGCTCTTACTGAATGCAAACCACGGGCCTTGTATAGAAGATGTGCACCAACTAGCTCACGTTACAGCTGATGAAAAATACTGATTCCTATTTTTTCAGATACGGTCCTCTCTGGTAGTTATATCATAGTTGTAGCCCATTTTGCTCGAGTTGCCTGTTTTTTTTTATACAGATGCAGAGCTCCCATTCCCATTAGATCGCGTATTTGATGCATTTGACTATACAAAGCCGAACTATTTCAATCATGACCGGAGGACGTAGTCTAAAATGAATAGCTAATTATTTGTCTAAATTTTACAAATCAAATTGAAACATTTTGTGTTTGAGATCAGGTCGTTCCCTGTATTAAAAACATAAATGTTCAATGAAGAAGAAAATCAGAGATAAAATTCAGATTGCATCAGATCAAACGACTGGATCACTTCGATATCTGGAATTCGGATTATCTGATCGGCTTATCACGGTGATACTAGAAATGCTCTGGTCAACCTCTAAACACATTTAAGTCAGGTTCGAATGAACAGCTTTCATTGGTGACCCAAAATCCATTCCTTGGAGTCAAAGACTACTTGATAGGTGGGTTCTGTTTTAGTTTGATGTCCTTTTCCGGTAGATGACCCAAAATTGCGCGGTTTATGACACTTTCCTTCACGAGATCAGCGCTCTTTACCTCTTCGAGGTATATGTTTCCTGACGTGGTAAATTCTTTTTCTGAGGCAACTGAAAGCTTGCGTAACAGTTGACATAGCTGATCTTGGTCGGGTGATTTGAGTAGCTGTTGCTAACATAATTTGTATTTGTGTAACTTGTGTAAGCATATATGCTTACATTTCAGTTGAAAATGTACAGTGTTCGTCACGCAGAATGAAATAAAATAATAAAAATGAAAGGTAAAGAATTTCGGTGATATACGTTTCATGTACAAAACATTTGACGTAGTTCATTTGAGACCTGTTCCTTTTTGGTAAGTAGTCAGGTCAGATAGGGTACAGGGGAATTTTTATAAACGTTAATGCGAGAGGGTAGCTGTCGAAATGAGGAGCGTGTGGACGGATGGGAACTACAAGACAATAGATAGATCAGGGTGTAGTGGATGAAGAGGGTCGTCTAGAATCTTATGAGCAAATTTAAAACAAGTTGATGTGACCATCAATGAGATCTGGGATTAATGAATCGATCGGACTTAGTGATGCACGACTGATTATCACCAAACCACGGCGAATTGTTTTCAAGTCTTGATTTAAAGGACCGGGAAACACTACAGGAGAGCAATAAAGTAGAATGAGTAAAACGCATTGATGAACGAAATATGACAAGACTGATTGTGGGGTTCGGAATTGCCTGAGTTTGCGTAACTGAAAAGATAGGCGTCTCAGTTTTCCCACACAGTTGTAAATATGTGTAGACCAACGAAAATTGCTGTCGATGGTGACACCCAGGTACTTCACTGAGGTCATTCTAGATACAGGTTTCTCGTTAAGAATAGCAGATTCCGTTGGAAATGAGGAGCGGGAAAGACTGAAAATACACTCTACGCACTTAGATATATTAAGACTGAGACCAGATTGGTCAGAAAACTGTTGGATGTGGGATAGGTTTTCAGTAAAAGAATGAAAGTCCGCGGGAGATGAAATTGTCTGAGACAAAACGACGTCATCAACATACTCTTGGATGTGCGCAGGAGGTGGTGACAGAAAGATCATTAATAAAGGCAGAAAAAAGATATGGAGATAGAACAGCACCTTGAGGAACACCGTATAAATACTGGGGCCTAATACGGTCCAACATATCAAGTTCTATCGCTTAGCATTTCGATTTTCGTAATCGCGCAACAGACCATCATGGTCATAGGGTTTAACTCTTTCTGTTGGTCGCACGATGTGTAACAGAAGCAGTTAAAAAAGACAGCAGAATGTACGTGGAATGTTTTGTATCACTACTCCAAGTTGTGTGGATTACCAAATACCTAGTAAGATACTGTTTATCTTCGCTGTAACGTTCGAGGATAAAACTATCTTCCAAATGGTTTTATTTGTGTTGAAGTTCTGTACTTCTTGATTGCAAAATGCAGTAACCCAGCTGCATTACTTGAGGATGAATTGGTCTCATGAAGAGATCTGTGGAAATACGGTACGAAATTTCACCTCCCCTCTCCCTATTGTCGCTTGCGGTTGCAAGCAACAATTATTTTCTCGGTGAAAAAGTTACCGTGTTCTGAAACATTGCCTGAGTCGTTTATTCACAAAAAGCTATTTCCACCTATTCCAGGTTAACTACTTAAGTGAAGTTTCTCCTATCCACGTCCTAAAGACGCTCCCGGTTGTATTCAGCTCCACTGGCCTTCAACTTTCAGTAGCCTGTCATTTTCAGGACAGTTAAATTGTCATTTTTGACTGTCCAGTAGCGATTAACAGAACCTGTACCACTGAGTTTTTCTATACCACTAGAACCATGTGTGATTCATTTTTCTAAATCCCAACTAAAGTTCGGTTTGTGTGTATTCCAAAAACACAATAGGTTGTCTTAACTACAGTGTTCAGCTCCGGTTTAGTTCACCACTAATTATTGTCTAACTTTCAGCTTCTATTTTCGTTTGTCGTTTATAAAGATCGAAAAAGTTCTCATCCTCGTACACTGTTTTCCATCCCAATTCAGGACACGTTCATGATGATGGAAGAAAGTGTACTCTGTCTGGCATTCAGTCGTGACTCGGAAATGCTCGCATCGGGTTCCGGTGATGGAAAGATCAAGGTGTGGCGTATCCAGTCCGGTCAGTGTCTGCGTCGATTCGAGAAAGCGCACAGCAAAGGTGTCACGGCTGTCCAGTTCTCCAAAGACTCGACACATATGCTCAGTGCCAGTTTCGATCACAGTATTCGGTGAGGCTTGGCTTTTGGGATGCATTTACCAATTAGGAGTGTTCACATTGTTTTTTTATTGCATGAACCGTCTCATCGTAGACTACTTAGAGGATCAAGTTTAGGCTGGGAAGAGCGTTAAGTTGAAAATATTAAAATCAGCCTTCCTTGTTCGCTGGCAATTATACTTTATTTGGATCCGCCGTTTCATTTAATTTTCAATCATTCAATAAACATGAATTACCGTAGGAGGAATTAATCCTGTGGTCTAAGTACCTACCATACAAAAGGAAAAAGTGAGATAGAACATTTAAAACAAGAAGAATGCAAAAGGAGTATGTAGAAAAGTTGAAGTTGAGTGTATCCTAGAAAAAGATGACATCATTAACGATGAGAGCCACTTAATAAGACTGCCTCATCGTCTGTATGCCTCTTTGACGAGTGAGTAGAAGCGAATCGAAAATCATAGATTTATTTCATTTCAACACGTAAACAATTACAGAGAACTGATAAATGTGCCGCAGCACGTGAACAAAAAAATGTAAAATGTGTTCATAGATTGTGTGTGGGCGTGTTACTTCCCGGTTGCCCTAACCAAGGAGGAGGGATAACCCCGGGGTCCGCATCCGAAGCCATTGGCTAAAAAGCCAGACATGTAAGACAACATGGTAGAACTCACTGTTCATAGTCCATTGGGGGCCGGTGTCCAGTTCATCAGATCATACGCCCTTTGAACGGGGTCAAACGTCCAAGGTGCTCAATACACCTTGATGCCCAATTGAGCCGGTGACCGTTGCCACAACCGGAAAGGTGCGGGTGTGGTTCGTACGCCTCTTGGTTGGTTTGGAATCAAGGTTATTAGCCAACGCCCCTAGTTGAACTGCCAATGATCCATCAACTGGGTTATAGCCCCGGATGTTGACTTTTCGTCCTCTCACTTTGGTGGGAAAACACCTCCACCAAGGGGAAGCAGTGAGTAGGGCTTCCTCAGCAGAGGCTATTTGAGACACTTGGTCATATAGAAGGATTTCGCGAGGTGTAATGGAATGGTGACCAGTCACAACCCGAGACATCCACACGCGCCATCATAATGAGGCTTTCGGAGTTCAAAGTTTTTTATCCGTGAAAAATTACAGATAAAACATATTTTGTTCAATGAAGCGCAAAGAAACGGACAGAATAGAAAACAACCAAAAGTTTAACGTAAATATATATTTTATAATCGATAAGAATAGGGGCAGTTTGAAGCAGAACGAAGAAAGGTATTAAAAATAATAAGAATGACATACGGGGGACTACAAAAGCATGGGGAACACCAACATGTATGGTTAACAACTGAGATAGTTCTGTTTATCTCGATGACGGTGAATCTACTCCAATTTATACAACCATCAACGATACACTTTCGTGCGACAGTTTAGGTATCTTTTGACTACCAATTGGTGTGAAGAAGTAGAGAAAAAACTAAACCAAGGGGAAGATAGATTCAGGTAGACGGTTGCGAAGAAATTTCGCAGATGCCTGAGTGCCACTGTTTTAGACTCTCAGTTATATCACTTCGTTCATTTGCGCTAATCCGGAAGTCCCTAACCAAAGAGTCTAACGCCACGTACATGTTCAAGTCCTCTGGTCAGGGTTTTCATGTTTTGTCTGCTTTTCACCTCTTGTTCAGGCATCTCAGTGGATTGGTCATTGAGAATACTGCTGCTACTACTACTACTACTATAAATCTGTTATTTAAGTTCCCCATCAAAAAACGCATGGCTAATTTCGTCAGGGAACGCTCGATAGAAGATCTCTGAGATATCCAGGCGCACCAGATTGGATTCAACATGATCGTTTGTTGTAGAGAATCAGATGTCTGTGACGTACGCTAGCAGATCTTCACCGAACATGCGTTGATGAAACCGGTTATGGTGCTTACTCATGAGTGCCTGGAGCTACTAGTCGTTCACACTAGCGGTTTCCACGACTTGTGAGGATAGCGTGGGGACTGAGTGATGGTATGACAGTTAGTTGTTCGGTTTAGATAAATCACCACGTTTGGATATTGGAAAGGTATGTGTTGGGACGAAAATCAATGCCATTCATCCCAAGATAGGCCCGGCTGCACACTTGCTAATTCTGTGAACAAAGCCAATAATTTTACAACACATTCGACCCAAATTAGGGTTATCGTGGATCAATACTAATCTCTCGGAAAAAAAATCAATAATATTACGCCGTACGGCAATATTCACTCTCTCTGTCCGTCTCGTCCGTAGCCTATGGCCGATTGAACATTTTGCTCATTGTGCATTTCATTGGTACATTCGTTTTCTTGCATTGGTCAATGTTATTTTCAGTCACATAAGCAGCAGAGTAAAACTTGTAAATGGACTCGTGACTTGTGCTCAACACCATTAAAATCCTGTGCTGCTGAAGTCGTGTCTTCTCTCCCGGGTTTTGGGAAGCCTGAAAGATCGATAGGCGACCGTGCATCCTGTGTGTTCGCCTAGGTAGCGTCCGCTCCTAGAACTATCATCCGCTCACGGACTTAGTGCTAGTCCGCTGTTCCCGTGTGCTACTATTATTACTGTTCTTATGTTCTTTGCTTTTGTAGTGTTCTCCTGTGATATAGTTCCGTGCGGCCTACTACTAGGCAACGGATATACGCGGCGCAAAACATAACAATTTGGCGAAATAACAGTATGTATCTTTACAACGGAAACAAAAATCAAATTAGATGGAAGGGCAGGTTAAACAATAGGCAAACAATGCTAGAAAAGTGTTGTCGCACCATTACTCTGTAGAATAGACTGATCGTTATCAGGATCATGTAACTTATGATAAAGAATGTTGATAATCACATGCCCTACTCCTAGTGTTACATTCAGTTTTACGATACAGCAACCGGTGTTCAAAGCTCATAGTCATTGATCTTGCTCTGGTGCTCAGACCTTGCTGTTTTCCCTCGAAATGATCAGTTGATGCGTGAATTGAACTTTCGTTGAGTTCGAATCAAACGAATGGGTCGACCGAGCCGCGCATACAAAAGACTCGATTCGCCTTTGCCAACTTGAGATATTTATGGCACCGCCGCGACATCCGGCTGTCTGTGAAGACTGGAGTATATGCTGCAGCAATTCGGCCAGTGCTGCTCTACTATGCAGAGACTTAGCCACTACGGGAACAGGATAAAAATAGATTGTCGGTGTTCGAACACCGCTGTCCACGTCTCATTGCACGAATCTGGTAGTACAGCCGGACAAACAAAGCTGAGGTTAGGCGTAGAGTTTTAGGCAGTCACGGCACTCCACTGGAGCAAGTAATCGACCTACACTGTTTGGGGCATGTATTGCGTATGTCACCAGATTGGTTGCCACGGTGAGCGATGTTTGCCGAGGCAGATAGCGGTTGGAAAAAGGTCAAGGTTGGTCAAAGGAAGACCTGGCATGAGGGTATGAGAACCCTAACCAGGAGACTGGGTGATATAGGTCCCGTTAGGCTCCCTGGATGGGGACCTCGGGATGATCGTACCCGATGGTTAGAGACACTGAGTGATATGGCTAGGTG